ATCAAGGGGTCCAGGCCAACTACTGGGGACACTCTGTTCTGGGGTTTCTTTGAGAGTCCTGTCTGTATACTGTGTATCTCTGTGCACTGGAGACAAGGCGATCCAAGGACCAGATGCTGCCTAGACTGATGTCTAAGGCCAGTTACTGGAGAATCCAGTGTGTGTGCCTCTGCATGTGTTTGTATGTGTAAGTGGGGTTCTGTGGAGTGGGGCAGCACTACAGCAACTGGTGGTGAGCCCTGGGGGCTCACATGGCCAAGTGCCAGCAACCTAGGAGAATGAGAATCCAGGACAAGATACTGGGTGGACTGCATGCCTAAAACCAGTTAGCAGAGGATCAATAGTGTGCCTCTGTGTGTGTGTGAAGGGATGTAAAAGGGAGTGAGGGTGTCTGAATACTAGGAACAGGAGTGGAGCTGCAATCTTCAGGTACTTATATGTGCAGGTGCCAGCAAATGGGGAGACCACAGATACAAAGGTCAGCTACTGGAGACTGAACGTTCAAGGACAGTTATTGCAGGGATCCATGCTGTGTATAAATACATATGTATTTCCCACTAACGGACCTGTATCCTGACCAGCCAGAAAGGAGAGCAGGATGAAGCCGTTGGTGGTGCTTTCTCTGTTTGTGTTGCTGGTGAGTGTTTCTGTATGTGTTGATCTTCATGGCTGGCCATTTATATATGTGTGTGTTTGTGTGTGTGCCTACTGGGAATACCCACTCAACCTTGTTATTGATTAGATGTGGGGACATGGAGGTGCAGGAGTCTTGCTTACATGAGGCTACAGGATTTGCCAATCCCTAACAATAGTTTTACACAAGCCCAGAGAACGCTCTTTCCAGCCCTCTCTAAGAGAGCATTCACAGTCTTCCTACTTGTTCTGTTCAAGGCCTGATAATACAAGTCAGAATAAGTCCAGTAATATTTCTTTTCAAGAAGTCTTATTAAGCCAGAGAACTTTGCTGCTTGGGTCATGGTGCTGCATAGCAAAGCAAACTCTCTGAATGTTACCTTCTACCCTAATGCTCTTTGCCTTACCTACCAAATTATGTGTACATTTGGTTATATTCAGAATTAAACTGGATAGGGCCTTGAGCAGCCTACTGTAATTTAGCCTGGTCTTGAGAGGGGTGTTGATCAAGATAACCTCTGTACCTTCCTTCCAGCTTGGTTAATTCTGTCATTATATAGTCTGGTCATTCTTAGCATCAGCTTCTCATCCCACAGATAAAGGGATTCTTTCACTGCCCTCTCAGGATCAGTTTTCTTCTCAGTGGCTATAGTTTGCCTAGACTTGAGTTGTAGAATTTCCTCATGCACCACTCCACTATTAAGACAGAGAGGACAAGCTTCGCATCCCACAGGTAAAGGGATTCTTTCACTGCCTTCTCAGGATCAGTTTTCTTCTCAATGTTTCTTCACTATTAAGACAGAGAGGACAAGTGTTCTTCACTCCAGAAAGCTGTTAGGCCATCTTTATAATCCAGAAAGCTGTTAGGTGAACTCTGTCTTCATGAAGGTTGTCAGAGGGTCAGTCATCCTTGGGTGAATTGTCATCTTCCCCTGCATCGGGGGAACATTTTTGCCTGTAACACAAGCATTAAAGTGTCTTGCTTGAAAGTATAAGCTAACCAAAATCTGAAAATCATTAACATGCCTATTCTGAGCAGCCTCATCTGTAACAATAATCTGTAATAAATTCCAACCTCTGCCCAGTTGGTCTTGATGTTGACATTATAATATAGTGCAGCCCAAGAGATTGGTTTGTAGCATAAGTATTGACTGGTACTAACATAAGTCTTAGGGATTTTTTTTCACTGAACTGAGAATGTAGTTAATTCTGAATTTTGTTTTAGGAAGAGTGTAATGAAACCACTTGACTCTACTATAAAAGATTATGGGGTGTTTTTTTTGTTTTGGGCAGAGAAATACAGGAGAATCTCTCATCAGCTATTTTTCTCTTCTATGAACTAAAGCAAGAGTCTTAATAAGAAATTGGAATCTCAGTCTTCAGAGATGTAAGATTAAAGCAGGAGTCAAAGAAGAACTGTTATCTTTTCATGTGTTTAAAGGCCTCCAGATTGCTCAGATACCTTGATTATTCCTCATTTTTAACCCAAAGTGGAATACTGTTTTGATGATACTCTGAGGTCACCTGAATAAGTGTGGCCTCTAGAAGCATCATGGACTGTTCTGGGCCTGTATCTGATCTGATCTTGCAAGACCCTTGATTTTGAGCAAAGTAGAAAGCTATTTTTCTTCCAGGTTGGTAAACTCAGCCGGGCAGATCATTGCTATCTGCACTGAAGAGCAGCAGAATACTAATCTGGCTCAATACACTGAGGGAATGCTGCATCAGTACTAATAAAGTAGCAAGTAAAGGCTTATACCTGTACACTGTTACGTAGTCATTCATACTGTTAAATTATTAGCACAGGTTAATACCCATCATTATAGTTTTGGCCCATGTCATCTAACCTTCTCCTAAGCAGTGCCTAGGCATAAATCAGAGGTTAGAATGAGAGATGGTTTGGGTGCAGTCACGCACTTCTGTGGCGTTGGAGTTTTTTGCCACGTGAATGTAAACCATACTCGGCCGAGAGCAGTCCAACAGCTTGCTAGATTTATAAGTGTACATGCAGCTGGTGTAACTGAGGATCTGATTCAAGGCATAGAGGCAGTAAGAAAGGGAGAAAAAGAAGAAAATTAGTGAAGGACTTTTGACCATAAGTCACAAAATGAGATTTATGCACACAACATTCTTGCGTACTTTTCTTATTTTCCTGATGTTTCCTCATTTAAAATACTCACTGTGAGAGAGACAGTTCTGTCTACTTCAAGCTGCCTGTATCTGTTCACTGTGAAATATTAATGTGCTTGATGAAGATTACCTTGCTCACTGTTAAGAAGCTGTCTAGAGAATGTGCTTCCTGCTAGTCATGGCAGAGCCCAGGCTGCTGAGCAAGACTTATCTATTTTCTTTCTTCTTTCCTTTCTCACTTTTAATCTGAATTTCCATGCCCCAATTAACTTTTCTCTATTTTACTTTCTCCTAGTTTCCATGGGCTAGTTGCATTATACTTTGATAACTGGGAGACTCAGACCCAATTAGAAAAAAAAAGTTCTTTCTTTGTTGAAAATTACCTTGTATATTTACTCCAGCATATCAAAGCCATGTTAGGGAATCCAGTTACAAAGTACTGCCATGACAGAGTGCAACCCTTGTGCCAGACTGTGCAATTGAGACAGTAATGTGCATGGGGGAATGCCAAATCCCTCTGCTGCCAGGACAGCCTAAGGGGAGACTAAACCACAATGAGGCATAGGCCTTTCACAGATGTTTTGCCACTCAGAGAAGCCATCTGAGCTGAGCTATCCTTAAGTTCTGAGCTTCTCAGCATTTTCTGAGGTCTGTTAGGGAATTTTAGTGGGATTGTGCTTCAGCTGTAACCAGTAGCTCTTCCCAGTTCTGGCAAGCCAGCCCAGATATTTTGCACTGGTTTTGAAGCAAGGAACTGGATCAGCTCCTCAGGAAGGTATAAGAAATACATGATATCATGTAGGAATATAGGGAACATCAGTTTGGGGACATCAGCAAAGCCTGAGGTCTGGATAAACTTGCTTACTTGATCATGTCTGCTTTAGGACAAGTGTAGTCTTTCCTTTCTGCTGATTAATGTGGAGTGAATACCCAGGAGTACTGATAGGGATAGTGAAGTTAGCAGTCCATAATTTGGAAACATGAACTACTGAGGATCTCTCCTATGTAAAACATGGGACAATCATATCATTAAACCTTTACAAAGGGAATAGTGAATCCTGTTTGTAAATAAACTGGACGTTGCTGTTGGGTTCTGGCTTTTTCTATCTTGGTTTTTGGGCCTTTTTTAAACAAAGCAACAAGATAGAAAAATGTAAATTAAAATAACCAAACAAAAGAGATTGACTTTCCAGAATTTAAGAAAAAGCTGTTGATTTGTACAGTATGAATCAACACATGTAAATGCCTATTTGATGGAGTCTTTCTTCCCCCATGTCCCCACTGTAAATGTACACAGAAAAACACACATGCTTGCATACTTCCAGGGTGGTCTCAGACCTTACCATTCACTTCTGGAGAATACTGTGTATATAACTTGCACTGTGGCAATCTCTACTGTTTTTCTTTGTACCTGAACAGAGAATAACATCCGCAAGAGCAGTGAAGTCTAGTACCTGTCTCCAAATGCTAGATTCAGTAACAGTGGAAATGCAGACAAGTTGTGGGAATAATCTAGGCCTGTAAAATTCTGCATGTACCCTACTTCTGAGCAGTATAATGCAAAAGACTGTTTAACGGTGATTTTCTGATAAAACTGGGATCCGTACGCAGGCTAATGCCCAGCTCCAGAACAAAGTGAATCCATTACAGGATCAAACGGGTCATTATCCTAAACTCTCATAGAAATTTGGTTCCAGACCTGAAAATAAAAGTGTCTTGGCCTTATGTCCACATTTACACCTGAAAATAAAATGGGAAGCCATGACTGGCATGCATTAATGTAACTCATGTTTCTGTCCCACCCTTTTCTTTCAAAAAAAAAGGGTGGCTGCATCTGTACTCCTTATTATAATTCTGCTGCATGCTATCAGTGGGGTTACACTTTGCCCAGGAAAGTTTTTGTCTGGCCAGAATATTGTCAAGCAACTTGCTAACCATGAGTTAGCATGATTATGTGCCCAGTGCCTCTGGCCCTGCTTAATTTACTACTATGGACATAGCCTATCATATTTAATCTCAATACATGAATGTATATTCTGGGTGTGTGGAAGCCCTGTACAAGGCATGATTGGGGGGG